ACTTTACAAAGGCGCGAAGCGGTCAAAAGCATCGCATCCCATCCCTCCAGAAAGGTCGCCCTCTTTCAACGAAAACGAGACCCCCGACTGTCAGCAGCTCTTAAACCCGCGAACCGAGATTGCACCGATCGAATCGAGTCTACTTTCTGCCGCAGCACACCATGTTTCCTTCCACCTCTAAGCCGACAGCGCGTTGGAAAGCTACGCGCTATAGCCGGACCAATCAATCGCTCCTCTTTTCATCACCTGACTTCGGTCTCCGCGTATGGCAGGCTGGGAGAGTGATCACGTGGCGAAAGATGAACGCGTGATTGGTCTAACGAAACATGTAGCTTCCAGCGCACTGTCAGCTTACGGGTGAACGGAGTAACCGCATGCCCGCGGGTTCAGTCGCTGTGTCGGCAAACGCATGCTACGAGATCCCCCTTTTCACCCGGCCAAGACGTAGCCGTTGCTGCGCTGGGGCAACGGCCCCCCTCTATGTTCATTCCAAACGAGTCCGGCGAGCAAGTCTCGCTCCTACTTGTTTGTTGTTTTTTGTTTTTTTGTGGTTTGTTCGCCTGGAGGCTAGGCGCAACTTTGGCGTACGTGTGTGCGGCCAGGAAGAAAAATGGTCAAAACCGAAACTCACACACGCACGGACTGTGCGCTCGCCTCGATTTTCTGATTTGAATACGCGCGTCGCTGTTTGCGTGGTGCCGGCAGCGTGAAGCGGGCTCTTCGTGCACCCGACGAGTGATTTGGGTCGAGCTGGTGTTTTGAGTGGCGGCGAATCGAAACCCGGACGGTTCGTTGTGTCGGGGAAGTTTGGAAACGGGACGAGCGAATTTTGTCGATGGGTTCGGAGCGGATGGCGAGGCAATTTCGCGAGGTCGTCGTCGTGGGTCGGTGCGTGACTCTAGGGTCAAAGCATACACTACTAAACTCCCCTATAAACTATGCCTGAATAATGCGAAGGATAACCTTGAAGAGATAACTATAGATGCAATGTGTCACATCATCAGACAGTCTCTTGCGAGTTCAAGAAAAAATAAATATACTCTACACTTTGCCTTTGTGACTTTCGCACGTTGAAGTACGATTATTGACTGATTGATAAAGCAAATCTATACGCCGTAAACACACACACACACACACACGCACGCGCGCACGCACATGTACACACACATCATGTAGGCATGTTTTGAAAAACGAGCCATAAAGTGACATTTATTCTTTTCCTTATGAGTTGTTTCCCTTCCCTAAATTCTCAGATAATCCCGAGATTTCAGACGCAGGCACACGTTACAGAAGTAAAAACAAAAAACTAATATTCTCAGTTGTATACCTTTTCCCCTTCATATCTCCGGAGATCTCAAGTCGCACGCGCCCTTTGCCGTGTCTGCCAAATTCAGACTAATTTGACTTCGAAAGATGATCATCGCTCGTCGAGATAAAGAAAAACGCAAACTGTCGCGGAAATCTTAAACTCTGTGAGAATGTGACGCTGGCGGTGGTGATTAATTGCGAAAGTTTGAGTGGATGACGTTACCTGGATCGGAAGATACAAAAGATAAACGAAATTTCTCTATAAGCCGATGTTCTATATATATATATATATATATATATATATATATATATATATATATATATATATATATATATATATATATATATATATATATATATATATATATATATATATGTATAAAGTCAGCTAGAAAGGAAACATATTCTCTTTCCTCGTTTGTATTTTCTATCTTTTGATCCAAGCAAACGTCATATGCTCAAACTTCCGCATTTTATCGCCACCGCTAGCGTCCCATTCTCACCAAGTTTCAGCTTTCTGCCGTGCCTAGATTATTTTTTTTGCGGCCCGAAAAACCGGGTTTCATTTTCTCGACCCCACCCGCGATAGTTTCCCAACAACGTCAGAGTTATTCCATTGGCGTGTGCGTGCCCAGTCGTCTCCCGCCCACACTTTGCCGCACCGAGGTCGTATACGCATTTTGTTTACCGTCCCGGATGACTTGGTGTGCGCAAGTAACAAACGTTAAGGGAGAAAAAAAAAAAAAAAAAAAGGCTATTTACGATGATAGCCAGAGCGATGCATGCGGAACGCAAGTTCGTCTGCTTCTTTTTGCAGGGGTTGTGGTGACGTCAGAAAGACGCCGAGTTCTGATTGGCTCTGATTGGAAGGATAGAGGGTAGACCGCTAAGCGAGCTGCCTTGCGGTCTACCGACTATCCTTCAATCAGAGCCAACCATAGCCCGGCGTTATGACGCCACCACAACACCTGCAAAAGTAGCAGACGAAGTTACGCTTCGCATACGTGCGGATGAAACGATTTACGATAGCCGTTTTATGTCGGGAGTTGTGACAGTTACTAGGCGCACGAGTCCGAGCCGCTTGAATTCTCGCGAACGTGAGCTTATACGTCCACGTTCGCACCGGTGTTGTGGACAGCGCGGCGGCCATCGACGTCCAAGCGCCGGTCTTGTGCAAGGTGAAAGTCTTGTAGCGTGACCAGGGTGGGAGGTAAATGATCGTGGCGCGCTGCGTGATCTGTGACGGTCGGCTGCTTCTCCGAGGGTCGCTCGATGTAAGGGGAGCAAGTATTTCGCCGACTCGTCGCGGGCGATTCGCAAGTAGCAAGCGCAGCTTAGTGGCACATACTTACTGACGACGTATACAAATGTTGACAATTTTTGAAACCAAAGACCGTTGTGTGGACAAAGACGTGATTGGTTCTTTGGCATTCTCCGCGACTAAGGCTGCAATCTCATAGGCTGCGCATCGATAATGAGATGATCGGAATCCGCTCTGGATGGATGGATGGATTTTATAGAGAGTTTTAGCGGATCGTTTTTTCGCTCCGATAACGGTACCTCCTCTCCCCTCCGGCGACCTTGGGCATGCATCGCATCGTTATCGGGTGTCGCTATCGGGGCGAAAAAACGATCTGCTAAAACTCTCTATTGGCTATACCCAACGTTACTAAAACACTCAGTTGGGAAACTCCCATAGAGACAGCTTTGAAAAAGTGGCCCCAACCTGTCTCCGAGCACCGAGCTAATGACGAACACAACGCCACCATTTCTCCCGCAGCGGCCACTTGAGGAACTGCACTCTAAAAAAAAAAGGGTGTACACGGGTACTCCCTTCAGGGGAGTCAAGCGATGTCTCAGAAATAACTCCCCGGGCGAGTCATGTTATCCCCCTAAATCGGAGAGCTATAGTACACCCCGTTTTGCAGGGGTCATTTAGCTCCTTATCTGAATCCCCTTGTGCTCATCTGACACCCCTCACTAAGGGTGCTGCTTAATTCGTTAAGTAACACCTAGGGAGTCAAGTTATCCCACTAAACAGGGGTGTTGTCTGGCACTCCTTATAACTCCCGGGGGTTCACGTGACCCGTCTTTTTATCGGTGTTGTTTAATGCTCCTTTCAACTCCCAGGTATTCACATGACTCCCAATTTTGTGGGAGATATATTGCGCCCTTTACTACTCCTAGGGACTCGCAAGACTCCCCAGTCCAGTGCGGCTTCGCAACACCATGGGAGCTGCAAAACTCTTATAAATTGAGGATTCCTTTAACTCCCCTGGATACTTAATAGACACGCTCGTACAACGGTGCTCACAAGCACCCTTTGCAACCCCCTGAGATTCAGAGGACTCTCGTCCCATAAGGGGTTCCTTGGCACCATTTTCAAGTACCGGAGAGTTCAATGACTTCGCTTTTTTTCGGTGTTTGTTGATGCTAGCATTACAAAACGGGGGGGTCAGATGAAACTTTTTGGGGGAAGCCTTTTTGGGAAGCAAATGCCCCAAACAACAGCTCACATTTCTTTGAAGCTGGCTCTGCTACAAGATTTCTTAGTAAAGAAGGGGTGCGTTCCAAGGCACCAGTTAATGCTCTCGGTATTTGCATCGCTGAAAGGAAGATGCACAAAATAGGTAATTATGGTTGAAATCTTTATTATGAGAACATATATAAAAAATTACAAAAGCGTTTATTTGAGGTTGTAGGAGGTCATTTTCAACAGTTGATTTGTGTTGGCTCCTCTGGCCTTCACCGACAAGTGGGTTCAAAGCCAGGTTCCAAATGTCGTTTGGCTCGACACTTCCCTCCGCGTCGACGAACAAACCTAGATCCTTATCTTTGACCTGAAACAATAAAACGCGGTTATAAGCATTTCACAAAATAAGTCACTACTATCTTTCCAGCACTTCTGAACATTTAAGAACTACGTGCTGCAGGCTATTTGAAGTATACGATTAGCAAACGGAAGCTTGCACATCAAAGTCATAACTATACTAGGGTGTGCTTCCGCTCCCTAGCCTTGTACTGCGCTTATGCAATATGTTTTAAACAAATCCTTCATAGGGCGACATCAGGTTTTTACACAATTTCAGATTAAACTTTGGTTTCATACACTGGTTCTAAAATAAAAGTAGCTAGCAATTAGCAACAGTTTTTTTTTTATTACTATGTGTTCAAGATCTAGTCCGCCTTGCCCTTTACTTGCCCCTCTGTCTCCATCGCGTCATGTCGCGGTCATGTTTCTTCAAAATTGTTTTAAATCGTTTAATGAATTTCTCACCTACCTCTCGTAGTCTCATACAAAACCCCGCAGATCAGCGCAAAAGCCTTCTCCGCTGTGACGTCGTCGTTACGTGCACATTCCGTATCACAACGCGGCGGAACTGATAAGTTTTGCCCTCGCTCGCAGCTGTTACCAGCTCCGCTCCGTTGTCATGAGGAATGTCGTGCAAAACGACAGCTCTTGCGCTGATATTCGCGGTTTTGTAAGCGTGCACTGCGGGATTGAGTTAGGAGGATTGAGTGCTAAATTAAAAGATGGATATATCGGAACACAGGCCGGCTTCAAGTTCCCAATATAAACTTATACCTTAATTACACTAATTCATAAATGTGTTATTATTTTTTGTTAATTAGAAAATTAACAGTTACGGTTAAACTTGCACATAGTGTCCGCCAAGGAGTATAACCTAGCTAGATTTCAAAACCTATTTTCAGTTTCTGTCCTAAACTTTTTTTAATCTGTAAAATTTAATTTTAAACACTTTGAATACACGTTGTACATTAGCTTATCTGAAATTTTAAACTTTTTTAGCATTGTTTGGCTGCGGTAACGTGTTCAACATGCGCAAAGGGAAATATAAGCTTCGGTAAAGCTGTACTTAGAAAGAGCTCTTTCGCGTTTTGCTTTTGTTTACCGTTTGCCATAAAATGACGTTGGCCTCGTCAAACCATCAACTGTCAGTCATTTGTTCACGCCCTTAGCGCCTGTATTTGAACAAACAGTCGAAAATAAAATTAATAAATTAATGAATGCATGAATGAAAAAAGAAAAACCTTATGGACGACGTCTCTGGGCATAATAGTGAAACTGTAGAGATTTTGAAGTTAAATAGTAAACCCATAAAACTGCGCTGCTTTATTTTGAACGAGTCTACCCTACCTCACTTTAAGTCAGAATTGAATAGCCGGATATCTTGTTATCTGAACCTAATAATTTTGGTTCCAAAGCAGGACGAAGTCGTTCGGCAAAACGGGACGCGATCGCCGGATGTAAAGTTTCGTATCGCGTTGCTGACTTCTTTACTTTCTACTACTGTGTTGATATAATCAAATCGCACGTTAATTGCAAAATAGTTGGCAATTCATAACTGACCAAGTTTAATTAACGCCTCTATAAGATTATTTAATTAGACAAAATTGGGAAAAATGTTAACTAAAAATATTTCTTGCCTGTTTTATTAATAAACGCAGAGGAAGGCAAACTTAAGGAAACAATTACTATGTTTATCATGCATAATTCTAAATATTAGCAATGTTACTTCGTCAGTTGGTGGAAGCAGAGCGTGCGTGGCATAGACCTCTACCATTTTTTTTTTTTTTTTTTTTTTTGCGGGTGATTAGGACTTTAAGTACGCTCTCGATTCAACGTACGACCGATCGACAGACCCAGCAGTCATTTTGACATAACTTGGCTATGGCCCCTTTGGTGGGTTTCTGAGAAAAGCGCGAACAAAACTCAAAACTAAGCATAAGCAAACTGCTGACCGTTAAACGAAGTTTTCAGAGACAGGATATGAAATATAGTAACTTGCCTGAATGAGCAGCCCCTCGTTCACGAGGTCCTTGAACGGTGACGCTAGAAGCGCGTGGTGAACATCGCTCTCCTTGCGCATATCTTCTACTATGATCTTCTTAGTTGAAGTTGTATAGGTTACAAAGCAAGTAGCTGTTTCGCTCATCGTGTCATACATACAGCACTGTCCAGGCGTATCCGCACACATGCAAAGAACTTGGCATGTGCGTTGGTTCAGTTCAAATGTATTTCAAAACGTTTACTAAGGCTTAACACACTGGCCGCGATGGAGAGGGCCAACCGGTCTACCCATCCAAATTATCCCCGTATACGTCCGGTAGGGGGACGCGGTTGACATTGCACGCCGTGGAGTCCGTCGTCCAGATGGCAGCAATTACCGACAAGCTGGGATTCGCCCTTGTGGCGCGTGTCGAATTGGCAGCATCTCTCTCTTTTGTGTTCCTTGAGACGGGCGATTCTTCGTCTACCCGTCTCACCGATTTAAGTGGCGTCGAGTCTCCTCTCCACAACTTACTTTGTGCACTACCTTACTTCGGGAATCCGGAGGGGTGCCCTCCCGATGTCCGGACATTTTTGCTCGTGAAGGCCTCGGGGTCTCGGCGCTGTTTCCCCTGAATTCCGACCGTAATCACTTACTGCTGGGACGGAAAGGTTGAAACAGGAGCTACCTAAATATTTCGTCTATGTTTGAAAAGTTCGTGAGCTGCTGTAGAATTTCAATTTCAACTGATGCTAAGAGCTAATTTCCCATACGTCGGGACTTTGATCTCTTCCGGTTGACCATTGCTGAAAAATGAACAGGGATTGTATTGTGGATAATAAAAATGGTTTTTGTGAGAGGTAAAAGGTTACGCCCTATATAAGAAATAGTAATAATCTAATTATATATCTGTTGTGGGTACGAGTTAAGAACTTATTCAAAAAGACGGGATTTCGATTTTAAATAAATCAAAGGGGGACATTGGGAACTGACCCTTCCACAGAATGGTCGAAAGGTTTCTAGGAGCCGGCGACAAGTCACAAAAAGTGTGACAAGTGATCGGGCAGTCATTGAATGAGGTTGTTTATTTTTCTATTTCGTTGAAGCAGCCAGCAAGCGCCTCAAAGCCGCCTCTGTGGGATTAGCGTGGCTGTCACAATCCTGGAAAAACTACACATTGGTAAAGATTAACCTTATTGATCGCGTCTTTTTAATAGACAAGTAGATACACTAATCAGTGAGTTGGTTTGCGAAACAATTTATTAATTGTTCTGATTCAGTGTTGTACACGTTCCTCAAAAGAAGGAACGAAAGCTCGTTCCTTCCGACTTTTGGAACGCGTTCCCGTTACAAGTTCCATTTGTAAAAAAGAAACTCGTTCCCGTTACATTAAAAAAATTGAACGTATCGTTACATATACGTTACATTTGTATTTTGATGATTACCACATCTATTTAGATCGAGGAAAGTGTTTTTTTTTTCTTATCTATCCCATTAAATAGGAGCAAACGAATCTGAATGCCGTGATGGAAGGGCACCAGGAGAAGAAAACAAGAGGAAGCAGGGTTTCGTTCGTTGATATATTCACCTTTAAAAATATCAGCTTTTAGTCATATTCATCTTTGTGGTGGGCGATTCAGACTAGCCAAATGTGCTGTTACCCCACACTGCCACGACCGTTTTCAGCAGCCTCACAAGTTTCAATCTAACGAAGTCCCTTGTTCGAACTTAACAACAGTTTTTTCTCGACGTTGCTGTTCACGCAGGACGAGCAAGTGAAGAAAAGAGTAGGGCTTTTCGAAGGTCAGTCTTGAAAAATACAAGTCCCTCTTCGTAAAGGTTGGATTCGTTGTTCAGTTTAAAGCTGGGGACAAAAGGAACAATGAAGAAAGGTTACGTTTGTGTATATTTTAAGTGACAAATGTTCGGGATACAAGGGTGTGTTCGATGTCATGGTAACCTGTTCTTTTGTTGGAACTGTATGTCTTTTTGTGGAAGTTCAATGATGAATGTGGTCGGCCTTAGGTTTCTGGGTGTATGAGGATTCGTGGAAGCAAAGAAAGTAACCGAGTTTGACACTTGCCTGTTGCTGTGGCTTTTCCTTCGACTAAAAGTTTTGCTTTTTGTACCAAGGTCTCGGGCACCTAGAAAAGTATCAATGTCCACTAGCTCTCCTGCACCCGACTGTTAAAAAGCGAGGACCACACAAATTAAACCCTAAGATAAGTAACCAAAAAGTAAACGAGATCCCGGTCTCTTCTTTGAAATGAAATGAAAATTACCCCACTGGACAAAAAAAAAAAAAAGGAACGCCGTTCTTTTCTTAGCTTTTGTAAAAGTGTAACGAGTTCCAGTTCCACCGATGCAAGATGCGGCGGCGGCGTTCCTTCGTTCCTCCTATAAGGAACGCGTTCCAGGAACACCGTTCTTTGGAACGCCGTTCCGTACAACACTGCTCTGATTATGCTAATAATCTCAGAGAGGCACGAAATGTGTTGTGAATGAGCAAGGCACAGGCTGTGTTATGTTGCGAGAGCCATTATTTGCTGGAATTGGTTAAATTTGCTGATCTGCTAGGATTTGTCAAGCTTGTTATCACTGTGTCGCGGGGTACCTGCCGTGCACGACATGTGTCTAGATAATTTACAGCACATTCTATACCTCCTCGAGTTCATCAGAATGATTAAGACAAGTGTAAACTTTTTTTTTTTTAAATGAGGAGTCCGCTATTTAAAGATGTTTACAGTTATTTTGGTTCTAAATGAGGTGCGGGCAAAGCGTTCAGTTTTACAGGCCCTTGGATGAGGCTCTTGTGATAACTGCAGAAGAAGGAGGCAGCTTCTCAAGAGTAATTATTAGACGAGTTGTTTGCAATTACTCGAAGAAAAAGAATCAAGTCTGTGACGCTCGAACGTGGCACCCGAGCGTGGTGATCGAGCGTGGCGGCCTAGCGGTAAAATGGATTTAAAGTTGTTTTAAAACAAAAGCTAGGCACTGCCACAACTGCGATTTGTAGTTCAAATTCAGTTTTATGCCTTACAAAACGAGTACAGAAGCGTTGCATTAAAGTCAACGACAGGTGGATAAGCTTAGGACGAACACCCGTCCTGTAACTCGTGGTGGTACCAACACTGTCAAATGAGAAAGAAAGAATGCGTCCAATTCTTTGAGTCCGTAACATTGAGAAATTTGTTATTTATTGAAAATAGCACTTCGGGGACTGGGACACGTGAAAGAGAAAATATCGGTTCCCAAACAGAAAAAAAAAAAGAAAGCTCATAGATGTTTTGCCACTTATACGGGTGGCGTTTTCAGCACACTCTGGCAAGGATGGAGGGGTAACCAGTCTACCCGCCAAAAATATCCCCGTCTGGTTGTCTCTGAAACAAGCTTCGTCCCAACAATTTTTGTTACATCATCAGAGCACAGAAACAAGATGGAGACCTAGAAAGGAAAACGCTAACACACAACTACCGCCAGAAACTCTTCTTTTTTTTCCTGATCGCTCGCTACGACTCGACGATGTGGCAGCTGTGCACAATTTGCCTTCCAAGAAGCTGTCTCTAGGTCACGTGAGTTTATTATGAAAGGTCCGGAATTTTGCTGTAGCTCAAAAAAAAAAAAAAAAAAAAAGTTCAGAAACGGGATATCGTTGTGGAGGCTCAGGAGAGATTGCGTCACATTTGATATCTCTCTCGTGCCCATCGGCGCAGAGCCGATTGTCAGCCCTGTCGGACGCCAGAAACGCTCGTACGAACCTGAGTGGTGGTGAGCGCGCATGCGTTGAGTGATCTCAAATTGGACAGATCTATCGTGATCCTATTCGCCGATAAATGTAAAGGCACTGTCTTGTTAGACCGGAAAGATGAAAACGCGAAAATGTACAAGGTTTCGAATGATAGTTTGCACTTTGTCTCTTTGAGCTTTGATCTAAAGGCGAGGTCTGAAAGGCACCTTGTTGACCCTTTGCGGGCGTTAAAGGGCCCATGAAACGAATTTTGGGTTGGAATGAATGAGTTTAAATTGAGACTTTACTAATCGCATATCGTTTTGTTGGCCAAAAGAAAGAGGCTAGAAAGTCAAAAGCCAGCTTTTCGGTACGAACATTTGAAAATATAGCGGACTATTTTGTACCTTCTTGCCTTCGAAAGCTCTCCGCCTTTTCACTATGATACATCCGCGGTTCCAAAAGCGCGTCACCGGCGCCAAACTGATGTCAGCAGAGCCCAGCTCACGCATTGGACACGAGAACTGCGTCACTCGGACGTATGCGCTCGTCAACAATCAATTCGTTGACGAATATTTGGATTCGCGTTCGTGGCCAATGAGTGCCCTGACGGAACTTATCGTCACTGGGGAATGACAAGTTCTATGGTGTGCATAAAAAGCACGGTGGAAGCTAGGAGTCATCGCACCGGTGCCGAAGGAATGTCACGACCACGTGATTTCACAATTCGCATTTGAGTTGAGGATTAAAGCTAAGGAGGAAGAAGTAGGAAAATCGTTTCATGACCCCTTTAAAGACTAAAGGACGTCTCGGTAAGACATTGTACCGCCGGCTTTGTTCGACGGACGGTTAGACGTACTGGCTGGCCCATCTCCATCGTAGCCAGTGCATACTGATCTGTGTTGCGATGCAACAATTTTTTTTACTTTGCGCAAATACGGCTTAAAGGAGCGGTGCAACGATATCCAATTGGAATGTTTTTCACTTGACACGAGCTTACTGGCACACCTGGGACTCAAGGATACTCGCACGCAACGCCAGTGGCCAAGAAACTCCTTTGTTGCGGTGTAATTTCAAGGACAAAAGCGATCATTCTTATTCAATCTCTCCTTTGCAAAATTTGATGACGTACCGTGGGGATCGCAGTACACCCAAGTGACGATATTTGAATGCTGTTCATAGATTGGACCCGAGCATTGCGTGGGCACTCGACTTGGGCTCGTGATAATTGCTACCTCGAGAAGCATTCGGGTAGTGACCCGTGTCCAATCGCTGCAACGACGACAACAGCCGAGCCATAACAATGTCTGGAACTCAGCGCGTGTCCTGCGCTTTGCCAACCCCAGCGCGTGGCTATGATCAACAGTGGCGGCATATAATCGGCTTCAGATCACGTGGCCGCTTGTTCTGGCTGCGAGTTGAGGGGGAGAACGCTGCTCGTTTGTCTTCAATTTTTTTCTGGGACTTCTATTGCGTGGGGTGAAAAACGAACGCGTGTTTCATAGGTCATTAACGTTAGGAATCCGTTTTAAGCGGTATTTGCGCAAAGTACAAAAATTGT